TCATGCAGAAAAACCGCTGATGTATGGTGCTACGATGAAAACTGGTGGCTTTCTCCCGATCCCCGAAGTTCTGAGGTTTGACGATGATCCATTGGTTCACCGGCCCATGCAACAGCAGCGATCTGAAGTAGAAGAAGGCGTAAGCGTACTGCGCACGTCATGCCAGCACCGAACCCCGTCCGAAGTGTGAGTGATGCGTCCTTTTGTAGGCTGCGGTCATACGATGTACCGCTTCGTTCCCAGACTCGGCAGGCATCTCGCAGAAAAACCGCTGATGTTGGGTGCTACGATGAAAACTGGTGGCTTTCTCCCGATCCGCGCGGTTCCGAGGTTTGACGATAATACATTGGTTCACCGGCCCATGCAACAACAGCGATCTGAAGTAGAAGAAGTTGTAAGCCTACTGCGCACGTTATGCCAGCACCAAACCCCGTCCGAAGTGTGAGTGATGCGTCCCTTTGCAGGCTGTGGTCATACGATGTACCGCTTCGCTCCCAGACACGGCAGGCATCTCGCAGAAAAACCGCTGATGTTGGGTGCTACGATGAAAACTGGTGGCTTTCTTTCGATCCGTGCTGTTCCGAGGCTTGACGATAGTACACTGGTTCACCGGCCCATGCAACAAAAGCGATCTGAAGTAGAAGAAGGCGCAAGCGTACTGCGCACGTCATGCCAGCACCGAACCCCGTCCGAAGTGTGAGTGATGCGTCCTTTTGTAGGCTGCGGTCATACGATGTACCGCTTCGTTCCCAGACTCGGCAGGCATCTCGCAGAAAAACCGCTGATGTTGGGTGCTACGATGAAAACTGGTGGCTTTCTCCCGATCCGCGCGGTTCCGAGGTTTGACGATAATACATTGGTTCACCGGCCCATGCAACAACAGCGATCTGAAGTAGAAGAAGTTGTAAGCCTACTGCGCACGTTATGCCAGCACCGAACCCCGTCCGAAGTGTGAGTGATGCGTCCATTTGCTGGCTGTGGTCATGAGATGTACCGCTTCGCTCCCAGACACGGCAGGCATCTCGCAGAAAAACCGCTGATGTTGGGTGCTACGATGAAAACTGGTGGCTTTCTCCATATCCGCGCGGTTCTGAGGTTTGACGATAATACATTGGTTCACCGGCCCATGCAACAACAGCGATCTGAAGTAGAAGAAGGCGCAAGCGTACTGCGCACGTCATGCCGGCAACGAACCCCGTCCGAAGTGTGAGTGATGCGTCCCTTTGCAGGCAGTGGTCATACGATGAAGCGCTTCGCCACCAGACACGCGAGGAATCTTGCAGAAAAACCACTAATATTGGATGCTGCGATGAAAACTGGTGGCTTTCTTCGGATTCGCGCGGTTCCGAGGTTTGACGATAATACATTGGTTCACCGGCCCTTGAAACAGCAGCAATATGAAGTAGAATTAGGCGTAAGCGTACTGCGAACGTCATGCCGGTAGCGAACCCCGTCCGAAACGTGAGTGAGTCGTCCTTTTGTAGGCTGTGGTCATACGATGTACCGCTTCACCGCCAGACACGCCTGGCATCTCGCAGAAAAACAGCTGATTTCGGGTGCTGCGATAAAAACTGGTAGCTTTCTCCCGATTCGCGAGGTTCCGAAGTTTGACGATGATACATTGGTTCACCGGCCCATGCAACAACAGCGATCTGAAGTAGAAGAAGGTGCAAGCGTACTGCGCACGTCCTGCCGGCACCGAACCCCGTCCGAAGTGTGAGTGATGCGTCCTTTTGCAGGCTGTGGTCATACGATGTACCGCTTCGCCGCCAGACACGCCTGGAATCTCGCAGAAAACCCGCTGATGTTGGGTGCTGCGATGAAAACTGGTAGCTTTCTCCCGATCCGCGTGGTTTTGAGGTTTGACGATGATAAATTGGTTCACCGGCCCATGCAACAACCGCGATCTGAAGTAGAAGAAGGCGTAAGCGTACTGCGCACGTCATGCTGGCACCGAATCCCGTCCGAAGTGTGAATGATGCGTCCTTTTGCAGGCTGTGGTCATACGATGTACCGCTTCGCCGCCAGACACGCCTGGCATCTCGCAGAAAAACAGCTGATTTCGGGTGCTGCGATGAAAACTGGTAGCTTTCTCCCTATCCGCGTGGTTTCGAGGTTTGACGATGATACATTGGTTCACCGGCCCATGCAACAACCGCGATCTGAAATAGAAGAAGGCGTAAGCGTACAGCGGACGTCATGCCGGCATGGAGCCCCGTCCGAAGTGTGAGTGATGCGTCATTTTGCAGGCTGTGGTCATACGATGTACCGTTTCACCGCCAGACACGCCTGGCATCTCGCAGAAGAACCGCTGATGTTGGGTTCTGCGGTGAAAACTGTTGGCTTTCTTCCGATTCGCACGGTTCCGAGGTTTGATGATGATGCATTGATTAACCGGTCCATGCAACAGCAGCGATCTCACGTAGAAGGCGTAAGCGTACTGCGCACGTGATGCCGGCACCGAACCCCGTCCGAAGTGTGAGTTATGCGTCCTTTTGTAGGCTGTGGTCATACAATGTACCGCTTCGCCGCCAGACACGCCTGGCATCTCGCAGAAAAACCACTGATGTTGGGTGTTGCGACGAAAACTGGTGGCTTTCTTCCGATCCGCGCGGTTCCGAGGTTTGACGATGATACATTGGTTCACCGGTCCATGCAACAGCAGCGATCTGAAGTAGAAGAAGGCGTAAGCCTACTGCGCTCGTCATGCCGCCACCGAACCCCGTCCGAAATGTGAGTGATGCGTCCTTCTGTAGGCTGTGGTCATACAATGTACCGCTTCGCCGCCAGACACGCCTGGCATCTCGCAGAAAAACCACTGATGTTGGGTGTTGCGATGAAAACTGGTGGCTTTCTTCCGATCAGCGCGGTTCCGAGGTTTGACGATGATGCATTGATTAACCGGTCCATGCAACGGCAGCGATCTGAAGTACAAGAAGGCGTAAGCGTGCTGCACTCGTCATGCCGGCACCGAACCCCGTCCGAAATGTGAGTGATGCGTCCTTCTGTAGGCTGTGGTCATACGATGTACCGCTTCGCCGCCAGACACGCCAGGCATCTTGCTGAAAAACCGCTGATTTCGGGTGCTGCGATGAAAACTGGTAGCTTTCTCCCGATCTGCGTGTTTTCGAGGTTCGACGATGAAACATTGGTTCACCGGTCCATGCAACAACCGCGATCTGAAGTAGAAGAAGGCGTAATCGTACTGCGGACGTCATGACGGCACGGAACCCCGTCCGAAGTGTGAGTGATGCGTCCTTCTGCAGGCTGTGGTCATACAATGTACCGCTTCACCGCCAGACACTGCAGGCATCTCGCAGAAAAAACGCTGATGTTGGGTGTTGCGATGAAAACTGGTGGCTTTCTTCCGATCCGTGCGGTTCCCAGGTTTGATGATGATACATTGGTTCACCGGCCCATGGAACAGCAGCCATCTGAACTAGAAGAAGGCGTAAAAGTACTGCGCCCGTCACGCTGGCCCCGAACCCCGTCCGAAGTGTGAGTGATGCGTCCTTTTGTTAGCTGTGGTCATACGATGTACCACTTCGCTGCCAGACACGCCAGGCACCTTGCAGAAAAACTGCTGATTTTGGGTGCTGCGATGAAAACTGGTGGCTTTCTTCCGATCCGCGAGGTTCCGAGGTTTGACGATGATACATTGGTTAACCGGCCCATGCAAAAGCTGCGATCTGAAGTAGAAGAATGCGTAAGCGTACTGTGCACGTCATGCCGGCACCGAACCCCTTTTGAAGTGTGAGTGATGCGTCCTTTGGCAGGCTGTGGTCATACGATGTACTGCTTCGCTGCCAGACACGGCAGGCATCTCGCAGAAAAACCGCTGATATTGCGTGGTACTATGAAAACTGGTGGCTTTCTTCCGATCCGTGCGGTTCCCAGGTTTAATGATGATACATTGGTTCACCGGCCCATGCAACAGCAGCCATCTGAGCTAGAAGAAGGCGTAAAAGTACTGCGCCCGTCATGCTGGCACCGAACCCCGTCCGAAGTGTGAGTGATGCGTCCTTTTGTTAGCTGTGGTCATACGATGTACCACTTCGCTGTCAGACACGCCAGGCACCTTGCAGAAAAACTGCTAATTTTGGGTGCTGCGATGAAAACTGGTGGCTTTCTTCCCATCCGCGCGGTTCCGAGGTTTGACGATGATTCATTGGTTCACAGGCCCATGCAACAGCAGCGATCTGAAGTAGAAGAATGCGTAGCGTACTGTGCACGTCCTGCCGGCAGCGAATCCCGTCCGAAGTGTGAGTAATGCGTCCTTTTGTAGGCTGAGGTCATACGATGTTGCGCTTCGACGCCAGACACGGCAGGCAGCTTCTAGAAACTCCGCCGATGTTGGGTGCTGGGATGAAAACTGGTGGCTTTCTTTCGATCCGCGCGGTTCCGAGTTTTGACAATGACACCTTGGTTCACCGGCCCAAGCAACATCAGCAATCTAAAATAGAAGAAGGCCTAAGCCTACTGCGCACGTCATGCAGGAACCGAACACTGTCAGAAATGTAAGTGATGCGTCCTTTTGTAAGCTGTGGTCATACGATTTACCGCTTCGCCACCAAACACGGCCGGCATCTTGCAGAATAACCAATGATGTTGGGTGCTGCGATGAATGTATCGTGGTTAATAGGCACAAATCAAGAGGACACTTTGCTTCAGAACGCTTACGTGCCGGCGGCTGCTTTTTCGTCACCTTTATTTCGTCGTCTTCTCCTAGCTCGCCCACGCTCAGCTAGCTTTATAACCGATACACCTTCTCTTCTTTAAAAGTTAAACAGAAAATTACTTACAATACATACACTATACAAATACAAATAAAATATAGAGATTACTCAAAATATGTACAAATATTTACACTGTAATGTCGTTTGTAGATTTCAAATCATGTTCTTTGCAGTTTGCACTTCACTTGCATACTTGATTAAAGTTCTCATCATACGTTAACCTCCTAGGTACACGAACTTCACGAGTAGACTGCCGAGGAGTGATCAGAGGCAGACTTCCTTGTAGGCACGCTTGATTTCTATTATCCAGCTGACTTGTGCTTGTGCTATTATCCTGCTGGCTTCTGCCGGGACTTGATGTATCTGGGCTGGAGACAGCGAACGTTGGCACTCGAGCCTCAGGACTTTCTGCATCTTCGTCTGCGGTGTCGTATGCCTCGGACTCTAACTCATCATAAGGATTGAATTCCTCCGATGTCTTCAGTAGGTGTTGGCGGTTCCGCCGTATGTGTGTACCCTTCTCAGTTTGTATCTTGTACGATCTTGGGCCGTTGTCACAGGTCACTTGTACTTTCGCTGACCAACCTTTATCTTTATCGTCTCGAACTCGTACAGCATCTCCTTCTTCTAACTGGGAAAGTGCTCGACCTCATTTTCTGTCTTGTTTGTGTTTAAACACGGGTCTAGCTGGTTCAGACACGAAATCTGGCAGGAGTGTACGCGTCTTCCTTCTCATTATTAACTCTGCTGGAGCTGATCCGCACTCTAGTGGTGTGGCCCTGTAGGTTAGTAACCCTAACCAGAAGTCTTGGCCAGAATGTGCACATTTTTTTAGCAGTCTTTTCACTATTTGCACACCTTTCTCTGCGAGTCCATTAGACCTTGGAAAGCGCGGAGTAGACATCACATGTTTGAAGTCGTATTTTGCTGCAAACTCGGTAAAATCTCTAGCTATGAACTGTGGACCGCCGTCTGTACAAACCTTTCTTTCTTTCTTTCATTATTGGTTTTCCATTTCATACAGAATGGAGGAGGCCGAGGAAAAAAGCTACAAACGCAGCTTGTGGGGCCCTCGGCCCCCTTTAAATGATGGCAGCATTGGACTCACAAAACACTCACACACAGTAACAAAACACTTCCTGGCCTCGAGAGGAAGTCCATGACGAGAAAACATGCTTGCCATGACGTCGATCACAGTCTTTGATGTAGTATCTCGTAGTTCGGCGACCTCGGGAAAGTTTGAGTAAGCATCGTAGAGAACCAGGTATGATTTCCCAGCATACATGCACAGGTCTGCACCGATTCGCGCCCAAGGTTGGAGTGGCGTCTCTCGTAACAGAAGAGGCTCCTCCTGCTGGCGAAAGGCATATTGCTTGCAGGTTGCACATCGGTCGATCATCGCTGTAATATGTGTATTCACTCCCGGCCAAAACATTAATTGTCTGGCCCGTGCTTTGCATTTGTTGATACCAAGGTGACCGCTGTGCAGGCGTTTCAGCATCTCTGCTCTGAGGACCCGCGGGATTACGACTTTAGCTCCCTTCATCAGGACACCGTTTACAACAGACAGTTCGTCTTTAAAAGGTTTAAACTCGCCTTGAAGTGGAGTGTTATTAGTCAGCTTGCTGACAACTTCTTGAAGTTCCTTCTCTTTTTCTGTCTCTGCAAGTAGCAGTGCCATTGTTTTGTCACTGACCAGCGTAGACAGGACAGTTGCTGCATGAAGCTCCACATCATCGCTTGAGCCTTCCTTTGTCGTCGAAACCTGTATTCGAGACGACGTATCAGCAAGAACCAGTGCTTTACCAGGCAGGAACTCTAGCTCCAAATCATATCGCATTAACCTCAAAAACAGGCGTTGCAAACGTGGTGGCATATCTCCGATGCACTTTTTGGCTATGGAAATCAATGGGCTGTGATCTGTTTCGGCAGCCATGTGCCGTCCGTAGATAAAGTCATGAAACTTTTCACATCCGTATACAATTCCCAGAGCTTCTTTTTCAATTTGAGGGTAGCGGCATTCGCTATCAGTCAACACTCTCGACGCGTAGGCTACAGGGCGCCAATCTTGACCATGCATTCGGAACAAGGCGGCACCTAAGGCTCCTTTCGATGCATCTGTAGAGACCTTCGTTTTCTTCCCAGCGTCAAAAATGGCCAATATCGGGGCTTTTGTTAACATTCCCTGCAGCATCTTCCATTCATGCGTATGCTGTCTACTCCACTCAAAAAGTGAATCTTGTTTGTTTAAGCTACGCAAGGATGTAGTCTTCTCTGACAAGTTAGGAATGAACTTCCCGAAGTAGTTGTCCGCCCCCAAGAGACGCTGCACTTCCTTTCTGTTTGTTGGTAGTGGCATGCTTACAATGCACTTGACTAGTTCAGGGTCTGGCGTGATCCCTTTAGCGCTAATGTTGTCGCCCAAGTAACAAATTTCTTCTAAAGCAAACTGGCACTTATGGAGGTTTAGCGTGAGGCCACCCTTTTAGCTGCTTGCAAGCCTTTCCTTAGTCTTAGGTCATGTTCCTCACGAGTACCGCCCCAAATGAGTACATCATCTATATAAACTCGTACTCCTGGTAATCCTTCAAAAATTTGAGTAATTTCTCTCTGAAAAACTTCAGGCGCAGAGGAAATTCCAAAAGGCAATCTTAGGTATCGGTAGCGCCCAAATGGCGTTGCAAACGTACAAATCCGCGAGGTGCTGTCATCAAGCGGAATCTGGTGGAATCCGTTCTTAGCGTCAAGCCTTGTAAAATACTTTGCACCTGCCAACTCAGCCTCAATGTCCTCTCTGCGGGGAAGTTGAAAATGTTCTCGTTTCAAGCTCATGTTCACGTACTTTGGATCCATGCACACACGAATTTTTCTATTTTTCTTTGCAACTATCACAAGAGGGCTTACCCAGTCTGTTGGTTCTTGGACTTTGGCGATGATGCCACTAGTGGTCATGCGGTCCAGTTCGTCTTTCAGAGGCTCGCGGAGAGCATGCGGCACTCGACGTGCTGGCTGAACCACAGGACGGCAATCATCCTTGAGAACCATGTGATACTCGTTCTTGGTGCGTCCGATGCCCTGGAACACGTCTGGGAACTCAGAGATCACTTGGTGTCGCAGGCAATTTGTTTCCTCGAGGCTGACTATGCGGTGAACCAATCCAAAGGCCTCACAGCTCTGAAGCCCCAGCAGCGCTTGCTTGCCCTTCTTCACGATGAAGAAGTCCACGTTTTCAATCTTGGATTTGAGCTCTACAGAGAGGCAGACTTTGCCCACATGCTGTAGTTTTCCTCCTCCATAGCTTCGCAGTGTTGTGGAGCATGGCACTGGTTGCGTCGAAACTTGAAGTTTCTTAAAAACGCTGAGAGGTAGAAGACTTGTTTGCGCTTCGGTGTCCACCTTTAGGTGAACGTCGCGGCCTCCTATCTTCGCCATCACAGTCCAGTAACGCTTATGCATTACTTTGCGACCATCAACTGATAGAATCTCAAAGGTATCGGCTTCTTCATCTTGGCTAAGCTCTCGTTCGTGAACTTTGTCGACGCTCATCTTCTTGCCTTTGCAGGCTACCGCAAAGTGGTTTTTTTTCCACACTTGTTGCATGATTTTCCAAATGCTGGACATTTTCTCGGCTCATGCAAAGAGCTGCAGTATTGACACTTGAGTCTTCCGGGAGAATTTCTGTGCCTTCGAGTCACTGGCTCCACAAGCGTATCTGGAGTTTCCCAGGTCTTATTTTGGCGCTCTGAAATTTCCGCAGATTTGCAGAAGTCGACGGCTTTCTCAAGTGTTAAGTTTTTTTCCCTCAGCAGCTTCTCTCTGAGTTTTTTGTTCTGTATGCCGTACACAATCTGATCTCGAAGCATCGACTCAACTAACACTCCGAAGTTGCAGGACTTCGACTTTAGTTGCAAGTCTCGAAAAAACAGTTCGAAACTCTCACCTTCCGTCTGCTGTCGTGTTCGAAAGACATAGCGCTCGAAGGTTTCGTTGCTTTTTGGAAGGCAGTAGTCCTCGAATCTATTCACGATCAGTTCATAGTCATCTTTCTCAGATTCTGCCAAATTGAACGTGTTATAGACGTCAATAGCCTCCTGGCCAGCCACATGGAGAAATATAGCTGCCTTCGGCTGCTTCGATCTCGCCTCCTTCGTCTCTGTTGCTCGGAAGTAGAGTTCGATGCGCTGTTTGAAGCGCTCCCAATTCTCCGCTGTGTCCTCCGATAGCCTTAATCCTGCCGGCGGCGGTAGTTCGACCATGGCTGCGGTTCGTCTCACTGAAGAGGAATTACTCAACCACTTTTGACACCATGTATCATGGTTAATAGGCACAAATCAAGAGGACACTTTGCTTCAGAACGCTTACGTGCCGGCGGCTGCTTTTTCGTCACCTTTATTTCGTCGTCTTCTCCTAGCTCGCTCACGCTCAGCTAGCTTTATAACCGATACAATGAAATCTGGTGGATTTCTTCCGATGCGCGCGGTTCCGAGGTTTGACGATGGTACATTGGTTCACTGGCCCATTCAACAGCAGCGATCTGAAGTAGGCGAAGGCGTAAGCGTAGTGCGCGCGTCATGCCGGCACCGAACCCCGTCCGAAGTGTGTGTGATGCGTCCTTTTGCAGGCTCTGGTCATACGATGTACCGCTTCGCCGCCAGACACGGCAGGCATCTCGCCGAAAAAACACTGATGTTGGGTGCTTTGATGAAAACTGGTGACTTTCTTCCGTTCGGCGCCATTCCGAGGTTCCACGATGATACATTGATTCACCGGCCCGTGCAACAGCAGAAATCAGGCTGTGGTTATACGATGTACCGCTTTGACTACAGACACACCAGGCATTATGCAGAAAAAGTAGAGAAAAAGTAGAGGAAGGCGTAAGCGTGCTGCGCTCGTCATGCCGGCACCGAGCCCCATCCGAAGTGCGAGTGATGCGTCCTTTTGTAGGCTGTGGTCTTACGATGTACCACTTCGCCGCAGACAATCCAGGCACCTTGCAGAAAAACTGCTGATTTTGGGTGCAGCGATGAAAACTGGTGGCTTTCTTCCGATCCGCGCGGTTCCGAGGTTTGGCGATGATGCATTGATTCACCGGTCAATGCAACAGCAGCGATCGGAAGTAGAGGAAGGCGTAAGCGTGCTGCGCTCGTCATGCCGGCACCGAGCCCCATCCGAAGTGTGAGTGATGCGTTCTTTTGTAGGCTGTGGTCTTACGATGTACCACTTCGCCGCAGACAATCCAGGCACCTTGCAGAAAAACTGCTGATTTTGGGTGCTGCGATAAAAACTGGTGGCTTTCTTCCGATCCGCGCGGTTCCGAAGTTTGGCGATGATGCATTGATTCACCGGTCAATGCAACAGCAGCGATCGGAAGTAGAGGAAGGCGTAAGCGTGCTGCGCTCGTCATGCCGGCACCGAGCCCCATCCGAAGTGTGAGTGATGCGTCCTTTTGTAGGCTGTGGTCTTACGATGTACCACTTCGCCGCAGACAATCCAGGCACCTTGCAGAAAAACTGCTGATTTTGGGTGCTGCGATGAAAACTGCTGGCTTTCTTCCGATCCGCGCGGTTCCGAGGTTTGGCGATGATGCATTGATTCACCGGTCAATGCAACAGCAGCGATCGGAAGTAGAGGAAGGCGTAAGCGTGCTGCGCTCGTCATGCCGGCACCGAGCCCCATCCGAAGTGTGAGTGATGCGTCCTTTTGTAGGCTGTGGTCTTACGATGTACCACTTCGCCGCAGGCAATCCAGGCACCTTGCAGAAAAACTGCTGAATTTGGGTGCTGCGATGAAAACTGGTGGCTTTCTTCCGATCCGCGCGGTTCCGAGGTTTGGCGATGATGCATTGATTCACCGGTCAATGCAACAGCAGCGATCGGAAGTAGAGGAAGGCGTAAGCGTGCTGCGCTCGTCATGCCGGCACCGAGCCCCATCCGAAGTGTGAGTGATGCGTCCTTTTGTAGGCTGTGGTCTTACGATGTACCACTTCGCCGCAGACAATCCAGGCACCTTGCAGAAAAACTGCTGATTTTGGGTGCTGCGATGAAAACTGGTGGCTTTCTTCCAATCCGCGCGGTTCCGAGGTTTGACGATGATGCATTTATTCACCGGTCAATGCAACAGCAGCGATCGGAAGTAGAGGAAGGCGTAAGCGTGCTGCGCTCGTCATGCCGGCACCGAGCCCCATCCGAAGTGTGAGTGATGCGTCCTTTTGTAGGCTGTGGTCTTACGATGCACCACTTCGCCGCAGACAATCCAGGCACCTTGCAGAAAAACTGCTGATTTTGGGTGCTGCGATGAAAACTGGTGGCTTTCTTCCGATCCGCGCGGTTCCGAGGTTTGACGATGATGCATTGATTCACCGGTCAATGCAACAGCAGCGATCGGAAGTAGAGGAAGGCGTAAGCGTGCTGCGCTCGTCATGCCGGCACCGAGCCCTATCCGAAGTGTGAGTGATGCGTCCTTTTGTAGGCTGTGGTCTTACGATGTACCACTTCGCCGCAGACAATCCAGGCACCTTGCAGAAAAACTGCTGATTTTGGGTGCTGCGATGAAAACTGGTGGCTTTCTTCCGATCCGCGCGGTTCCGAGGTTTGACGATGATGCATTGATTCACCGGTCAATGCAACAGCAGCGATCGGAAGTAGAGGAAGGCGTAAGCGTGCTGCGCTCGTCATGCCGACACCGAGCCCCATCCGAAGTGTGAGTGATGCGTCCTTTTGTAGGCTGTGGTCTTACGATGTACCACTTCGCCGCAGACAATCCAGGCACCTTGCAGAAAAACTGCTGATTTTGGGTGCTGCGAGGAAAACTGGTGGCTTTCTTCCGATCCGCGCGGTTCCGAGGTTTGACGATGATGCATTGATTCACCGGTCAATGCAACAGCAGCGATCGGAAGTAGAGGAAGGCGTGAGCGTGCTGCGCTCGTCATGCCGGCACCGAGCCCCATCCGAAGTGTGAGTGATGCGTCCTTTTGTCGGCTGTGGTCTTACGATGTACCACTTCGCCGCAGACAATCCAGGCACCTTGCAGAAAAACTGCTGATTTTGGGTGCTGCGATGAAAACTGGTGGCTTTCTTCCGATCCGCACGGTTCCGAGGTTTGGCGATGATGCATTGATTCACCGGTCAATGCAACAGCAGCGATCGGAAGTAGAGGAAGGCGTAAGCGTGCTGCGCTCGTCATGCCGGCACCGAGCCCCATCCGAAGTGTGAGTGATGCGTCCTTTTGTAGGCTGTGGTCTTACGATGTACCACTTCGCCGCAGACAATTTAGGCACCTTGCAGAAAAACTGCTGATTTTGGGTGCTGCGATGAAAACTGGTGGCTTTCTTCCGATCCGCGCGGTTCCGAGGTTTGGCGATGATGCATTGATTCACCGGTCAATGCAACAGCAGCGATCGGAAGTAGAGGAAGGCGTAAGCGTGCTGCGCTCGTCATGCCGGCACCGAGCCCCATCCGAAGTGTGAGTGATGCGTCCTTTTGTAGGCTGTGGTCTTACGATGTACCACTTCGCCGCAGACAATCCAGGCACCTTGCAGAAAAACTGCTGATTTTGGGTGCTGCGATGAAAACTGGTGGCTTTCTTCCGATCCGCGCGGTTCCGAGGTTTGGCGATGATGCATTGATTCACCGGTCAATGCAACAAGAGCGATCGGAAGTAGAGGAAGGCGTAAGCGTGCTGCGCTCGTCATGCCGGCACCGAGCCCCATCCGAAGTGTGAGTGATGCGTCCTTTTGTAGGCTGTGGTCTTACGATGTACCACTTCGCCGCAGACAGTCCTGGCACCTTGCAGAAAAACTGCTGATTTTGGGTGCTGCGATGAAAACTGGTGGCTTTCTTCCGATCCGCGCGGTTCCGAGGTTTGGCGATGATGCATTGATTCACCGGTCAATGCAACAGCAGCGATCGGAAGTAGAGGAAGGCGTAAGCGTGCTGCGCTCGTCATGCCGGCACCGAGCCCAATCCGAAGTGTGAGGATGCGTCCTTTTGTAGGCTGTGGTCTTACGATGTACCACTTCGCCGCAGACAATCCAGGCACCTTGCAGAAAAACTGCTGATTTTGGGTGCTGCGATGAAAACTGGTGGCTTTCTTCCGATCCGCGCGGTTCCGAGGTTTGGCGATG